ATTTAAAAAAAAAAACTTTTCTGGTAAAAAAAAAATCATTTTCTATTGTCGCTTTATTTCGAAATGCGTCACTCAACAACAGTATTTCGATATTCTTATTATTGATTTTTTAATAAAAATGTGTCAGGTTCTGAAATTTTAATAAATTGATTTAAAGTAAAACACATTGGGTTTGAAAAGAAATTGTCAAAAAAATATCTTAGATTGAAATCTCACTCTCTTTAATACGAGTAAAGGTTTGATTAAATTGAATTGAACATATTTTATTGACAAAGTCAAAGGATCGGACACAAGTTCAGTAACTTAGATAGTCCTCTCCTAATATAATTAAGTTTTTTTTTTGTTTTTATACATGAACATGTACCTAGCTGGCGAATTGCTGATTGTATATACGATCTAAATGCCCCCCCCCCCCCCCCCCCCCCCCTCCCCAAGAATTTAAAGTTAAGGTATTCAATGTATAATGAAGAAAGAACTATATGCGGTATATTGCATATATTTGCCCCCACAAAAGTCAAATTTTGAAAACTTCCTGAAATGTGCTGAATTCAATAAATTGTATGAGAAATATAAATTAACAGAAAATATTATAGTGTCAAAGCAGTGTATTCACAATTTTTTGTTTTTATGACGTCACAAACTAGTCCGATTTTATATCCTTTTTCAGAAAGAGGACAAAATGGACAAAATTTCAACAATTTTAGCTTTAAAATTTATAGAGCGCAAGATTGTTCAGGAACGATATTGGCATATTTCATTGATATTATCATTCTACACATTATATCAAAATATTGATCCTGAACACACATGCGCTCGGTGACTTTTACTCGACAAATCGACAAAATATGTACATTTTTCTGTAAAATTCATAAAAAAACTGAAATTTACGTCATGTTTGTGACGTCATTACGTACATATGACGTCATTACTTATGAAAATGTTCAGTGCTTTGAAGTCAGCATATACTCCCCTGTTTAAGAACTTAATTAAATAAATCTCCGTCAAAGTTTGATTTGGGGGGCAAATATTGGTTATTACCGAATAAAGTTCTTTGAACTATTTAAAATAATTTTAAACTGGTTAAAATGTATTACTAGATAATGATAAAAATGAAATAAACCTAATTCACAAGACTGATGATATGTATGGAGACATTCATTTTGCAGGTTAATATTTTGAAGATACCTGCCCTTGATAAAAAGAAGAATGCTTTTTTAATTTCTCAAAATTTCTGCGGTTAATAATTTATTTTCATTATTAATTTAATAAAGAGGGAGATTTTGAATACTTTCAACAAAAGATTTGTTTGAAATTCAAATTATATTTCTTAACAAAATCTGATAAAACATGTCCTGCCCTTATACTTCAATGTAAAATTTAAGGAGCAATAAACTGGACAATAATCAAAATTATTATTACTAATGAATAAAACAAAGGGTTAAAATTGTTGGTATCAAAAGGAAACTAAGTCTTGTCACAATGAATAACCACGTGAAATAAAAAGAAATCCCTAATGTTCTCTGTTCAAAAGTTATTGCCAAGATCTTTTTTAAGTGGATCAAACTCTAAGGTCAAGTTAAAAATGTAACGGGAGAGGAGGAAATGCAGCGGATCAGACCGGGATTCTGCCCCCCCCCCGAAACTCCGGTAAGGTGCTCTATCAAAAAAGCTATCTGGCTACCGGAGATCAAATCTGGCTGACCGCCACAAAAATATTATTAACTGTTGAAAGTTCATACCAATTATACTTCTTGCATGAAAGCACTAGCACGAACTGTTCAAAACATAGGCCAGGTTCAAAGTTTGGACTTTTTTCTGGTAAAAAGTGGGTCAAACATCAGGTAAAGGTCAAGAGATTAATAGGTCGAAACTGGTGGTATCAACACTTAAGGTCTTGTCAGAAATATAAAAAAAACCTATAAACTGTTTAAGCCATGCATGTGTATAGCCCAACCCAGTTAAAACTTAGAGGTAAGGTTGAAGTTTCTGTGAACCAACAAATTAACATCCTTTGAATTTGCAGGGTTATTTAGAGTGGATTATGAAGAAAATAAAGATGACTTTGGGTATCTCCCCCTTAGAAAACAGGGAGACTATCATCATTGCTTTTATTATTTTTTTTTTTATTTGTTTTTGGGTTTTTTTCTTTGCTTCTCAGGAAATTCTGGGCCGGAATGTCACATAGACAATGGGAGATAACTTCACAATGTGAAATTCGTCAATTGTGGCATGCAATGATATTTGACCATTTTTTAACTTAAGCCTAACTTGTCATAGGTCCAGTCAACTTCATGAAATATAATCCAATTAAAACACAAAATGAATTATTTCAACTTTCATCTTCTATAAACACACTGCACAATGAGACAGCATGTGCTATCACATTCTACAAACCTTGTCTGATCCCTCGTCTTTATCAGATGAAGAATGAATTGGCCGAGACGTGCCTAGTGGTGCTATCTAAAAATATGGAAAAGGCAAACCCGATGTGATGAAAGAATTTTCAAAAATGTGTTAATTTGTAAACATACATAGCACAAGAACAAATTTTATCATAACAAAAGATGTTTTAAAAAAACTTTGGCATCTAGGCCTATTTAAAAAAAATGTATGGGGTTGGGCATTGACTAATTGATTAGGTTGGATTTTCAAGTTTTTTTTTAGCTGAACAAATGCTAAAAAAAAGTTTGCACTTTTGAAAAATTCATCGAAAACGCTTTGTAGCAAAATAATATCATTAGTAATTGAGAAAGTAAATTTATGGAATTAATATTGGCAAAAAGGCCATTAAAATCTCATTTACATCATAAATTTAAATCAGTCATTTACGAACGGTAATGAATAAAGTATATGAGATACATACAAGAGGCTCATAGTGCACATGGTCAGCTAAGAATTTTATTCTCATGTTGAACGATTTACTGTTTAAAATATAAAATTATTTTGACTTTTCCCTTGGAAAACCCAATTTGAAAGAGTGTGTTTTTATAGGCTTAGTGTGAGTATTACTGTCTCATGACGACAGCATCTATTAAATATCAAAGATTTCATTTGGATTTTTCATTCATATGGAGGGGCCACCACTTGCCAGCGGAGGGCTACAAATTCTTACCTATAATCGGCACTTGCGGCCATTGAGCAGGGAGGGATCTTTTCTCATGGCAGCACCTACTGCGACACGGAACCTCAGTTTATATGGTCTCATCCGATGGATTGGTCTCCATGTCCCGCAGTGGGAATCAAACTCACTATGTAAGGGTAATCTCTTTACTCCGCGACTCTAGAGCAGGCGTTCTTGAAAACCACTAGCAGCGCTACGCTGGTGAGTTGGGACCTAATTGAGTCCTTATTAGCATGATTGAAGTAAATATATGGTTTACCATCAGAAACTGAACAACAGTACATAATTCTGACGTTCATTTGTTTAATGAACTTACTGACGATAAAAATTCTACTTTGGCACTATTATGTTAACTGGGGGGCGGAAGTATGGCTCTAATTTTGTAGCTGTGGCGCTAAGGAATTTAAGTGTGACGGGGCCGCCACGTTAACCGGCCCATGGAAAACCCTGTACATCCATGCACATTAATATATATTTTTTCTTTTAATATCAAAGAAATATATATTATTATAACAGTAACTTGATCCGAGGGGTCGTATCACGTCGAGTTGACAGGCGCGGATGATCAGATCTAAGGAGACGCGAAGCGTCGAGTTTGATCTGATGATCCGCGCCTGTCAACGAGATGTGATACGGCTCTTCGGATCAAGTTACTGTTATAATGATAAATTTATTATATACCCCCTCATAACTAGCAAAATATAGCAATAGAAAACTTTAGAGATCAAATGCATAACATTTATCCATAAAACAAAGCATAATAACATGGGACTTTTTAACGCGCAAGAAAAATAACGTCATATTTCTACGTACTACGTCATCAGTTTCAGAGAGTGGTGATATGGATTCAGAAAACAACATGTTGGTAATCCGGAATATCGGATCACGACGTCACGTGATGGCGTAAATTCAACAGTAAAATTTGGTGATACAGATTAGGTATATAATAAAATCGGAGATACGATATAAAAGGTTTGATTGAAATGATTCGAGGTATGAAATTGTATATCGTGCACTTTGCTACCCAATCGAGCACATGTGGTATATCTTAAAAACATAATCTTTGCTCCATCCTATACACAAAAAGTTTTTTGATAATATCTAAATTCATAGAATATTTTTTTGTGGAAATGAAAAAAAATAGAAAATGAAAGATTCCTGAAACAGGTAATTGTAAGTAGTGTATTTTCTTTTAGAATCCTGCTCTATTTACTGAAAATGAATTTGTAAAAAAAAATATACATTTTCACATTGGTAAGCAAAATATTTTATCATATATAGTGTTATATTCATGGCTATGACATCTCTCAGTTTATGCATAGAAGAAATCTATGAAAAATTATTAATTGTGATGATTAATGCTATGCTGATCATATTTTTCTATTGTAGTCATGAATTTAGTTACTTACGTTTGTAATCAATGTAATCAATAATGATGTGTTTAGAACCGACTACAGTTGATTGTATTCAAAATTTATCTATAAGAAAAGTCTGAACCCTTCTGCATTTATGAAGGTTTCATTCATTCTCTTTTTTGGAATTATAAATTTATATGTTCAAGTGCAAAGGGAACTGGTGTCTCCTAGCTTGAATGAGTTACAGCACTTTAATGCCTTTGTACTTACCATTAAATCTTATAACTTTAATACCATAAGTCATAGAGGCATTGGGTAAATTACAAAGGGACCCTTGAACTTTGATCTTGAATATCATTTGAAGGTCAAAGGTCAAGGACGTCTCATTTTTTTTTTATCTTTATGATGAAATTTAATTGAAAGTAATAAATATCAGATGAAATTGGAATTCAAAGAAGGTGAAAAGACCTTTTATTGTTCTGTGAACAATAAGTCTCCTAGTTTCTTTTTATTTTTTGTAGGAGTCTTTCTGATAACAAAATTACCGTTTTACCGGACAATGCCTTTTATGGTTTACAAAACCTTTCTTATCTGTAAATCTTAGTTTTACTCAGTCTGACATTCTGTATGTATACTTATTTGACGTACTAGGTAGTAAGCTGTGCATATCGACATGTGTATTACCATTACTTTTGTAAAAATGTCCATTTCCCCATACATATTCAGAACTTGGTATGGATCGATGAAAAATTCCAAGAAACAATAGAAATCTTTTAACTTACAGGACATAAAAAAGCGGTTTCCCCATTGTTTGTTATGGTGGGATCACGTGACAAGTGGAAGTAAGCATCCTTTGTCGATTCCACAATCTAATCTGAAACCCTGTTGATCTATTCACATTTTTCTGAGGAAACACAGATACGTAGTGGATTTTGCACGACATATCTACTTTATTTGAAACTATGATCACTATTTTCACTTAGATTAATGTCATTTTATATTCTAGAATAAATCATAATCCAGTTTGAAACCTTTGAAATATTCACTTGATTATCTTCTCATATTCTTTACGTTTTTTTGAGTTTGATTAAATGTTCGAAGAGAAAAAATGAAAAAGAAATATAAAGCATTTAAATACAAAGACTTTAGTATTCCTTTTTTATTCAAAAAAGGAAAATAAAATAAATGGACAACTATCTTTTGGTACACTGTATCAAATAAGTAATTAAATAAAATCATGAAAAACCATGCATGAAAACGTGCATAAAATTTACAATTAAAATTTTGCTATGAAATACATAGTACATGTAGGTGCTTCATGTACCCATTGAACTTGTAGATAAATCTTTTTTTGTATTACATTTATTTACATGTTATTTGGTTTATGTACAGGATAATCCAATTTTTGCACAAGCGCTGAATTTTACATTACAGTTTTATTTTACATAACAGAAGACGAGAAGCCATTGTAAAGCATGTTAAATACGTCATCTAGGAAGCATATGATCTAGATTTGAAGCATATGACACTATTAATTTTTTTTTCAATGTTAAATGCTCTGAATAGATTTATTATATAAAATGTTGTAAAACATAATTTAATTTTTAATACAGTGAGAGCTTTATTTGGGATTAAGGAAAAAAAAATGAATAAATAAATAAAAATACTAGTTTTTTTATTACTTTTTTCAGACATAAGCAATCTTACGTCTTAGACAATAAATGAATACATTTAAGGGATATAACTGTGTGTCTCCATCCACCATGAACACAACAAATTCTACAATGAATATAGTTTTCAAACGATAAGTAGTAACAGGTAGCCCTTTTACAGACTGGAGTAAAATTGATTTATTTCTATTTTCATCGACTTAGTCAACTGTCGAACAAGGCATAAACACAGACCCTCGGAAATTTCAAAAATTGGACAAATTGCATAAAAGGAGAAAGCATTTTTAGCCAACCGGTCAAACCCGCCTTTAGCTTTAAGAATGCATTTGGTACACGGATATTCTGTATTTTGCCGAGTCGCTATTGTTTTGTTACTTTGCACGGCGATAGTGACAACTGAGGGGAAAGTAGATCTACTCTATGAAATGCTACTAACTGCAAAAATAAATATTTCGTAGAACTCTGATTATTATATTTGCTTTGCTTTTGAGCGACGTTGCTTCATCTATCATTTTATTTTGTTCTATATCTAATTATGGTTCTTTATATTGTTGTATAATTATCAGGTAACCAATCAAATCCCTTTGCCTCTTGTTTTTTTTCTTTAGACAGAAATTCTATTATTTAATCAGTCTTTTTATAAAGGAAAAAGGCACGGCACGTGTACATAAATTGGCGTATTCAAAATTGTTTGCAAACACTGTTCATGAGTATTAAGTTGTTGTCCTATTAATAAATTATCGCTACACACAATCCCACCGTATATTACATGTAAAACAAATCCTTTATATGTTATAGAAGTAGTGCATATGCAATTTTGCAAAACGCAGCCTTCTTTAATTATGCTTTGAATTTTTTTTAATTACCTCAGTTTATATGATTCTTAATGATAAACTCTGATTGATTGAAAAAGAATTCAAGTATCATAATGTATTTATATACTAAAGGCTTTGATCATGAGTGGCTATAACGAAAAGTCCAGCTGCGATTCCTTCGCAATCCGGCGCGTCGGTTTGGCATCTACGGAAATGGCTTCTTCGATCTCCATCACTGATTCCTTAACTGTACCCTAAAGAAGGACATGAAGTTTTCATGGACCTCATGAGCCAAGAGAGACAGCGGCGTACGTCGGAGTTCTGCCACCCTCCTGTAAATGGTACCAAAGTGCTTCGGTGTCATGGGGAACTGCACGGAACAAGGCATATATGGACTTCCGTTTATACCAGAAGCTTGTTATCCGGAATAGATCTCACTCCGGTTCTGTAGAGGCGACATACAGAATACTCTACCGCTTACTCCAAAGTAGACGGGTCGTCCTGTGCGAAACCACAGGCACACCTGGTCCGGGCCACCAGTGAAGCAATGTAGATGGATGGGTGCCAAAGTCGGGACACCCAGGCCATCAAGTAAAGTTATACAGTCCTGCTTGGGAACCAGTCCAAGAGGGTCATCCTCTTCTCCCCGGAGATGGAAGACCATATTGGTCGAGACATCGGCCACCAATATGAACTTCTGTTGGCGATGCCCCCCTACTGTATAACCCAAACCAATCTCTCCTAGCGCCCAGGAATTACTGCGGTATAGGTCTACTATGACCCGCACATCATCGCTACTGGCTCTCGGAGCCTCCCCCTGGCAATAAGCCACTGCTTTCTAAGGATTATCTTTGGCACCTCATGTGGCTCATCAAATCCATAAACAACAAAGCCTCCTGTCGGAATGACTGGTACCTCCACTGGCCGTTTGTCAAGGGTGGTAAAGACATCTAAATCACCAGTAAAAGGGTCAGGCAAACGCCTTGGGTGCCAGTGGCAATCAGCAACTACAATATGTTCTGAATCCTCCCTAGGGGATGTCGTGGACCAAGTTGGCCCCTGATAAACAGCGGGTACCTCCGCTCTGGCCTCTGTCCCTTCACTGTCCACCTGAACTGCCTCAGTCTGCGCCAGCTCCTTCTCCCACGACTCCGCAACATCAGACTGACCAATCCAGGTCCGACCTGGACCGCTCCAACTCCCCGAACCAGTGGCCTCTCCGTGTGGCCTTATTGATCGCAAGAGCCATCAGTCTTGGATGGACCAGTAATGCTACATGGGGCACCTTTCCCTTGCTCACCTCGTTAATTTGTCTGCTACTGGGAGGGACAATGCTTCGAAACACCAACAGCAGCCTCACGAACTGGCAAAGAAAACCCCCGGCTGACCCTTCCAAGCTGGCTCCGAACCCAAGCTCTCAGTCTCCCTATACAGACCAATGCCCATTCATCTGCGGTGGGTCCTACAATCTGACAAGGGAGTTCCAAAAGGAAATTTACGAAATCCCTTGGTTCCTTGGCTTCTCTGTCATGATAACGCCAAATATGATACTGCATGGATGTGGCCCCTTTGAAAACGTCATCACACCTATCAACGGCGCACCTACGCACCTCTCGTGGTCTTTTCTTGAGGTCCTTTGGTCTGTCGTCAGATGCATCCCTGGTGGGGGCAGTAACTTGAGAGGCACCTTCCTCCTCAGAATCATGTAACGAAATGAAAACCATTTCGGTCCAGTCTTTGTTCTCCGCATCCTGCGGATTGTGTTTAGACACACCCTCTGGCTTGTCTGGATCTTCCAGCTCTAACAGTGAATCTTCCTCATAAAAAAAAACACATCAAAAGTCTCCTCCATGGTTGGATCTTAAAATGAAAATATAAACAAAATATAAACAAATACATTCTCCGAGTTCTCTCGACTACCTAAACAACCTTTAAAATCTTAAGGGTAAAAAATATCTACACAAACCCTTAACTATTTACGATTCATTTTTTTCTTCGTTTTTCTCATTCCATTTATTGAAGAGCACTCAGTGCAAACATACTGGGGTATACTTTGGGCATCATCTGTTGAAATTCCGACGGGTGGAAAGAAGCTTTACAAAAATCACTTGAATCATTAACCCCTTAGGATTTTGCTTTTTGCACAGACAATGCGATTTTTTAATACGGCTTTGCTTTTTGTGTTTCACATGTTCAGACACAACTGACTCACCAGTTCCATTTTTAGACCTACTACTTGCGCTAGTACCCATATATGGACAACTTTGAGGTCTTTCCTTGGTTCCCACTGCTGTACTGTCCTTGATAGTAGGGTGGGTTGCCTGGCAAGTCTGACTCACCTTCATTTTCCATCTAGTCATCACTGTTAACCTCACCTTGCAACTGTTCTCTGAACTCCACTAACCATTCAGGTAATTTCCGTGCTTCACACTTTTTCAGTAAGTCAAGATGCATGACCTTAATTTCACGGCGTGACTTTGCAGCATAAACGATATCAGACTTTAGTTTAATCATAATTCCTGGACCAATGCACATTGACTCAATTGCATTTCGGCGCCAATAAACAATGTCACCAACCTTGAACTTACCTGCCCTCATCTTTAGGTCATGTGCCATTTTCATTGACTTCTGAGGAGATTTCAACTTTTTTCTTGCAAGTTCATGTGCTTTTCTACGTATTTTGCTCTAGATCCTGCACATACTTATCTACCTCACCCTCCTCCCCATTTGAAAATCGGTAGGAGGTGGGCTGTACATTAATGTTGCTGGGATGTTAACCTCCCTGCCCAGCATAAGTCTATTTGGTGTATAACCAGTATGGCGGTTAACTGCTGACCGCAATGCTCCAGGAAAAATACCCAAATATTGATCCCAGCTGTTAGGTTGACCATCAACATAACAGCGCACAGCATCCATGAGTGTGTGATTGTAAAGTTCAACCTGGTCATTTCCAGATGGTCTCTATGGTGTTGTGCGTGCTTTGTGTATTCTCAAGGTTTCACAATTCTACGAAACAACTACAAAACCCTGAAGCATTATAAGTTCTAGAAGCAAATATGCCAGTGGGGAAAACATTAACTGGTTCAATGATGAAATCTGGCATCTCAGCATCTAGATTGCACTCTTTTACTTGGACAGTGTGTGGAAGATTCCGCACCCGACGGGAAGATTCAGCATTAAGCACTTGAAATGGACCCTCAGGAAAAATCAAGATTCCAGTCTTGCAGGAAATTTGTGCATCATGCCCTCTAAGGAAATCAATTTCTAAAAGCATTTCACCCTGTAATGGGCCTACATAGACCAGATGCTCAAATTCGTATCCACCCATAATGAGCGTTACCTTACCCAAGAACTGGGCATTCATACCAGTTCTTTCACCCGCAAGTCTAATGCTCGATTCCACTACAACATGCGGCTTTGGTAACATAGAGTCATATACTTTCTGGGAAACAATTGTTATATCTGCGGCTGTGTCAACTGTAGCATTTATTTGTAAACCCGCAATCTCTACTGGAACACGCCATGCGCCTGAGTTTTCACCTTTATTACCAGACTGCACAGACGGTATCACATTGGCTGCATTGTCATACGGGTTCTCAGCAAATGTCACTTTATAGATGTAGATGTCGGCACCGAAACCTTTGGCTCTGTGTGAATTATATCCCTATTCCGCTGGGATGGAGAAACAGAATTACGAATACGCAACCTATTTGGACAGTTTCTCCTTATATATCCTGACTGCTTACAACCAAAACACACAACTGACCTTGAATGTACCAGGCGACTGGGACTTGATAACCCTAATGACCTCGAAAATTGTCTTGGACTGTGACCTCGGCTCTCACTTTGTCTATTAATTAAACTCCGAGATCTCTCACTTGGTTGTCCCCTTTCAATATATTTAGGTGACCTTTGACTGCGAGGCGAGATTGACCTTGAGGAACAGGCATTAGAGACAAACCTATCATTAGAGGTGGATCTAACTGCTTTTTGAAGACGAAAAATTACGCGTCTACTTAAATGGAATGCCTTAACCCTTTTGATTGCTCTTTCTAGAGTACTTGGTGGGTGATTGATGATCTGCTGACCTGCCTCACAATCTCTGCATCCTAAGGCAAACCTCACTATTAAATATTCCTGAAAAATTTCAGGTGAGGTTTCTACCCTAAAGGCTTTTTGGGCTGTATCCATTACCCTGTCCCCCCATTGTTCTATGGGCTCTTCAGGTCCTTGAGTGAGAGAATTAAATTCTAACTGGGAGGCTGCCCACAGGGAAATTTTTCCAAATTTTTTCCTGTTTCAACGCTGAACTCTCCGATCTTAAACTAAGTGCAAATAAACAATCAGTATAACCCAACCATGCTACTCAAGAATTTTCGAGAATTTAGAGTAGAAAGGACCCCACTCTACATTGCCATTTTAATAAACACCCTGTACCTCTGTGAATATACTCCTACCTACTCCACTTCTACTACCCGGGGGTATAAGGCTCGGCAATGGAGACCTATGTGTACTTGCTAAAGTAGTACTTGGGATACTACCTGACTGCCACATGTGCGACATAATTGGTGGCCTATTCTTCATTGTAATTGGTAGTCCAGGAGGAGTTCAATGATAACCAGGTCCTGTGGCATTTTGCCAAATTTCATTGGGGCAACCTGGGGTCAAGGGCATTTAGACAACGGTTCCCCCCATACCCTAAAACTTGACTCCCTATCTAAGACCTGTGATCATCATTTCCTCTCGTGATGAAACCTCCTGGAGCTAACAAGTTTGAAAATATGGTACTAGGTAACCCAAACCCTAGGCTAGTTGAGCTCCCATAACCAGTTGTAAAGATATGACTCGGCTCTGTACCAGACACTTCTGCAATATCCCGTGAGGATATGGCATCAACCTGCCCCCCTGACAGAGCCAACTGAGCTGCTCACACCCCCTGGACCCCCACAAAATGCTATACCCTCACTAAATGCAAATGACCCATGTACTTCCTGTCCAGGAGCCCAAGAACTCCCCTGGCTACTGGAAATAAGTGGCTGACTTGCAGCGAGACTGACAGTAGATGTCTGACTTTCACAAGTTTTATTGGGACCTTACAGACCGCTCAACATTCTAGTTATTCCCCCAAGGTGGGAACCTACCCCCTGAACTTGCACGGTCATACTCGTCTCAGGAGATCCTATATAATTTGTAAGAGAATCTACTCTTTGTAACACTTCACCCCTTAAAGAATTTACTTGCCCAGAAAACTCATTTCTAACATCATCCAGATCATAACCTAACCCATCTACCATACCCTGTAGATTGTCAAACGTTTCCACAAGCACTTGTTGTCTTTTCTCAAGTTCGGTTATTGAAAATACTCCTTCTTGACCCTGTAGCTTATCCCCCTCCTGAGTGAGCGACATATCAAGTTGCTCATACTGGGTGACATTATAAACAGGGGCATCCTCCCCACGGGGTGTACTGAACATCTTAGGGTCAAAATGCACCTTGCTTGTATTAGAGACCTTACCCTTCCCGATATTCCGTGAGGTACTTCCCATGCTACCTTGGCCATTTCCCCAAGGATGGACGTACCGGCCATCCGGATATCTCCGGCCCCCTCTAACAACACCTGCAGTTTACATTTTCTCCATAATAATAAGAATAAACCTCAACATGCACCAAACATTGGAAAAACAACAATCAATTCTGCATATTACAACATGAATGATTTGCGGAACACCGCTAATATTGCACAAATACACATAAATATTATTATTTTTCAAAAAGGCACCATCCACATTGTCGTCACTGTAGAATTAATTTTTTTCCCACTCGACGATACTTATGAGGGCCGTTCAAAAATTACGCGGACTTGTTGCACAGAAAAAATAGTTGACGAAATAATCGGGCAAAATGTCATACATTATATAAAAGAATATTTACTTATATGGTTTTCAAAATTTCATATCAAAATGGTGTTAATTGGTATCAATTTTGAGTAATTTTTCAGGACATATCATTAAGTCACGGAGCAGGTAAATCTTCGACGTCACGGGCATTATACAAAAATATGTGATTCAGCCTTCATTTTCTCAACATTTTCCCAAGAGTTCCTGAACAGTTTGAGTTACCTTATCTACTCAACATCCAAACACCATTTCTTTTCACGCTTAAAATCTATTAAATAAGTAAAGAATATTCTTTTTTTGTTTTAAAACCAAAAACTTCAGGTAATTATGAGATATAGCGTGACATTGGTCACTCTCAATCACGTTTTTAACAGTCCGGATAAAGTTCTCGCCGATAATCTTCTTCCCGTCCTCCCATATAGCCTTTTTACAGAGGTTTAACGGTCTAAAATTTCAATAAGCTATTTGTGGACGAATGTCACAAATACCCTGGTTAACTACATATTTTTTTATGCATATTTTGGATCTATTTTGGCGATATCACGAGCATTACACATAATTTAACAAAAGTGTGGTGCGCCGTCAATTCAGGAAACGTCATTTTTACAGTCGTTTGCTCGGGGTTCACATCAGGGAAAAATCACTATATTTCTGATAGTACTTCGAATAGCATGTCAGAAATCTAAATACATAATAATAGAACAGTTTAAAGATACATTTGAGAAAATTGTCGGAAAATATCGCGAATTATAGAAAATAAATAAATTAAATTTTGGATTCCGCATGCTTTTGCTTCAAATTTCTTGTCGTGCTGCGTACCTCTCCATCAGCGATATCAACATAGCGATAATTTTAGTTGAATTTTTCTTAAATACAGAAATTTTGCCTAAAATTTATTGAAATCTTTAAGATACACATTTCTGTGAATTTTCATAACTATATGACGTCTATAAGAGTAAACAATAGCACAGTCCGCGTAATTTTTGAACGGCCCTCGTACTACCCTGCTCGCAGCGCCATTTATCGTGTTTTTCTCCGCTACATAGCCGAGATCGATCGAGGGAAAACGATCATGTAAACTAACCAATGTTTATTGTATGGAAAAAACAGGTAGTATATAGCAAATACAGTGGGCATACAACATGGAAAATCTGTCGCCTCGCTATTACACCAGAAAGCATGCTTACTCTGTTGGGTACCGGTTGGATTCGACCCATAGGCAAAAATGCCCGGTGTCGAAAACCGCCACACTATCAAAGGCAGATAACTCTTTAAAATTGTTAACCTGCAAAATGATTGTTATCAGCCTTGTGAATTTGGTTAATTTCACTTTTATTGTTTTCTAGCTATGCATTTTTAACTAATTCAAAATTATTTAAAATCGTTCAAAATCCCTTTATTATACACTGAATACCTTAAGTACGATTCAGTCATAATTTTATAAATGTGTAATCAAATACAAAGAATGTAAATTTTACAGAGTTGGAATATATATTATTTCAGAAACCTACGATGGAACCAGATAACCACCATTGCAGACAATGCTTTTAATGGATTGCCAAATTTACAGATACTGTAAGTTTTTCATCATTTTTTTTCATGTGTCAGATTAAAAGAAAACCTTATTTGTTAGCAAATTCACAAATTTAATGTGACAGGCAGTTTGCTTACATTTTTAAAAAAGAGTGAATAAATTTTGTGGATTGAGTAAAAGACAATACATGTTGTCTCTGCATGTCGACGCATGTACTGAACATAAACAAGATCAGTAGGTATTGAGTTGGTTATTTGACGAAGTACCCCGAATGTTTACTGCCAAGGATGAAAAAGATATTTCCTACTGAATGTTTCTTCAGACGTAAATAAAACATCAGTGACAATGGTTTTGGTGTCTTTTAACATTTGTGGAGTTACAGGTAAAGTGCTGCAATAAATCTTAAGTAATATGTTTAAACTCAAACAAAGATAATAGACTTTTCCTTATCTGCTCAACTTGTTTTTAACTTAATGCTTGGATTTAGTACATGTTCTTATGAAACAAATGTAAACATGTGGGATTCAGAACATGTTTTATTTGAACATTTTAAACTTGGAATATATTTAAATCTATCAAGTAAACTTTATGAAAAACGTAATGACACCTTCACTTTACAGTTGTCAACATTCTTAAATTATGCAGGAAGATAACCTCATCACCTGTATTCGTGGTTTATATCTCTTAGTTGATTCAATATTCCAGAGCAATCTTTACGTATGAACAATGTTTATGACGAGATAAGTTATTGACAAACAAGTTGATGAAACAAAAATATCAACAGTCTCGTTTCAAGTCATAATTTTGTAAGCCCTATGGTGAATACAATGACCTTATCAACAAATACGAATTATCATTAAGTCAAATGCTGGCTGACAATTTCACGCTTATTGTAAGACCATTATTCACACACTGAATTGTTCACACATTTTCCCGTAATTTTCTGATAATGACAAGGAGCACTATAATATCAATAAAATTGGACACTTTAGATAAGCTAAAAATTCGAATAATGCAGAGACCGTTACTGAGTCTATAAATTATATTAATGTAAGTATACGTTGACTGGGGGGTTGTGCCATGTTTGATTCAATTATCAACGGAGAGTATTACGTTCCGGTGTAGGTGGCAAGACAATAGCTAGTAAGACAGCCATGAAACATTATACTCAAGAAATCGAATATGAACTGAACAAAGTCCTTACCCCTGGTTGATGGATTAAAATCTTTGGACTATACGAGGGTCGTTCAATAAGTAATGCGATACTCAGTATATCATAATAAATGTTGAGGCATTTGAATTTATTTTTTTCATATTTGATAAGTTCTATTTTTGATCTACTAAACACAGAAAACCCCACGAATTTTCATAGTGTCTTCGCAAAGAAATTTATTTTTAAAGTAAGCATGGTCACTACACTGAGCTGAAAACTGTTTAAAAATGATCTCTGCCAAGAAGATGAAAATAGGTGCGTATTTGAAACATGCGCTTTTTACATAAATCGCCGCCAACCTCATATTTAAGAGGAAAAGTTTTATAAGTGGAAAAATAATCTTTAAGGCTGTATACTTTTCAGATGGATTCAATAATTCAGAAGAAAAAAACAAGGGTTGAAATATAACAGTCATGATGGTCAATTGAAATTTGTTGGGACATCACAAAATATCGACTTTATGTGCCACATGTAATTTGAAAAAGGTATATTTACATGGAAAGACATTGTTAAAATACTTAACATTAAATCGTCACAGCATTTTATAGAATTCGGACAACGGAACAACATATAACAATATTTCAATCAGATAGGTGCCCTATCTTCTCACAAACGTCCAAGAGAGAATATTCGTCAAATGTGCCTACGGTTATATTAAAAACGTATTTTTAAACAAAATTGCAGAATTGATAAACTTGCTTAATGTATAATGAAACATTGGTGCTCTTATTATAGTCGTAAAATATGATTAATGATAAAAAAATTAGGAATCAAAGAAAAGGTTGTCATTTAATTAGGATAAAGAGAAGCAATGGCTGCAAACATGTTTTATTAGTTTTCATGTATTTAAAGAGGTCCATTATAACATGAACATGCATCCAAATGAAGGACTATCAATAGTAAGTTTTATCTTCAATTCGCATAAAGGAAAGTTGAACAGATTTCCTGCAAAGGGAGTCCAAAATTCGTTGAACATGGTATTTTTTCTGTGCTTAACAACGCAGTTGAATATACTCATAGTGAAAAAATAAAATTTTGAAGAAAAGAAAGTATACAGGACTTTTCAATGACCCATATTAGTTTAATCGTAGCCACTGTGAGATCTTTTCGTCCCCAAAATACATGAAAACAATCAAAGGAAAATTTTACAATGTCAGATATGCGATAGAAAATGATATTTCTCAGTGTCTTTGGGGTATCCCTAAAGATAAGTATGCTGAGGATTTCTGTTTATGGAGTCAAAGACTTGAGACACATGAAATTAGTAACAGGGAATTTCTTTAGGGATTGAAACTATTAAAAATATGTATTACGTACTTTTCTTACTTTTAGATGACATGTTGCATTATTTATTGAACGACCCTCGTATTTTCAATATTTTGAATTTCCTTTGTCACTTATCTTATCTTATCTCATCTTTTACAATGTTAGCTCTAACACTACACAAACAATAAAAAAAATGAACAACTTGTTTAGGTTTCCAAGGTCGTAGAAATACATTTCGACGAAATATATTCAGTAATTTTAGAGCATGGTTCAATCATATGATTATGTGCTAATGATCTCCTACAACGAGTCTATTTTATTCCAAGTCCGGAAACGCAGTACGATGGAAATAACTGACTGTTTGAATAATATATATTTGCATTTTCTTAATATTTAAAATCCCTATATTCCAACAAGGTAATAACATTCCAATCAATGCCTTATTTCAAGGCGAAATGGAATACATGTTTCAACACCACATATAAGGGAAAACGGTATTATTGCATTTTGCGCTTTAACATTTTAAGTCGGAATCAACGCAGAATGTGATACCGTAATATGCACAGCATACGTTAATAATTATGTCACTTTGGGTTTTAACATTTTGTTTTGACTGAAGCAAAAAGTTATAACGCAAAATAAAATCGCATAATTTTTGGACTTTTACGTTTGGCGTTCAAAAATAAAATTCATTTCTTATATTTACATTATTTTTCTGATGACTTGCCATAAATTTACTCCATTCAACTGTCATTTTGAAAGCAAAACAGTGTGCACTATATTTTTTGACATCAAGTGCTGCATTATGACGTAACATTTGAGATATTCATGCTTATTCTTTGTACATATTTAATGCAGTTCATGAGAAAATAAACTGCATTTCATTTTGTAAAGAGTCATAGGGAAAAATTATTGGAAATGTTAATATTAGCTCTTAACATGCATTCTCTGTAAGCACCAAAAAATCTTGGAAACGACATGTCTCGGATTTTTATGAAATCATCACCATAGATGAATCTTGGTACAAAACTAATAAATATGGTGTCGGAATTTCAACACGTGCAATTTGTTGCCATGGACACAGATCTATTGCATTCAGCCTTTTTTGCCCTTTTTGAAAACATGAAAATTGAGGAAATGTAAATGAATATTTTTCAGTATCTAATGCACTCTAACGAAGATGACTGGATCATATGATAATATGAACTTTTAAGGTACACAGGGCATATAAACGTTTACTGTAGAAATAGCTCACTGTAAGAAAAAAGTCATAGAAACTGACATGGTTTCTAAAAATTTGAAAAAAATGGGGAAATTGGCATTTTTTGAGATCTTCAAGGGAAAATAAGAAGAATTGTCAGCGGAAAATTTCCAAATCCTAAGAATTGTATTATACTTGCGAATAAGAAGTGTCATTTTATGAAAAAAACATAATTGGGTTTATGATCCTATTTTCAGGAAAATGTATCTATAAATATAGTTTAGATAAATATGAAAAATCAAATTTTCGCAGAGTTTTAATCGTCATTTTTGCATTATTAGGAAGTATATTGTAAAATTTGAGATCTAAATGACAAGAACTGGACACCACTAGTTGGTAAGGAAATTGGTTGAGGGGAATTCCCATTCCTATTTTCATCAGGTGGCTTAATATACATATGTCTCTGAATATTAGGAAAAATGGCATTTTTGTTCTAATTGGAAGCTTCATATAAAAAGTCTTAACAAATATAAAACTTTCCAGAATATGTCTTCAAAATGTACACATCTTTGTAAAATAATTGCTACAGTACTGAGGATGGACTTTTGTTTCCTTTAAGCAACAATTGTCTAAAAATAGATTACTAGAATAATGGTGAATATATATATATATATATATATTATTGCACCTTTTCAGGAAGATTTTAGATGTATTTTTTTTTTATTCCTGTATAATTAGGTAATATTGTGTAAAATTTAAAATGTTAATGACAAGAACTGGACGCCACTAGCTGGTATGGATAATAATTAAGGGGAATTCCCATTTCTATTTTTAGAATCAAGTGTTTAACTATTGAAATGTCTCAATATATCAGGAAAAATGGCAATTTTATGCCCCATGGAAACTTCATAGAAAACGTCTAAACAAATAGAAAACTTTCTACAATATGCCTTCAAAGTGAAGAGGTGTTTTTTTCAATAATTGCTACAAGATTGTGGATGGACTCTTGCTTTTTATAGGAAAAATGGTGAAAAAAATAGATTATTTCAATCAATCGAATAATTGTAGATTATTGCAGCTTTTCATGCACTTTTTAGATGTCATTGCTGCTTAATTAGGATGTATATTGTAAAATTTAAGATGTTATTGACAATAGCTGGCCCCCATTAGGCGGTGTGAAACAATTGTTGAGGGGGTTTCCCATTTCTGTATTTAGAATCACGTGGCTGAATATAGTTATGTCTCTAAATATTAGGGAAAATGACAGTTTTATGCTAATTGAAATCTTCGTAGAAATGTCTTATCAAATATAAAGCTTTCTACAATATGCCTTCGAAATGAACACTTGTACGTACAATAAT